AATCCTACAAGGACGTTGTAACTACCCAAATGCAACTAAAATGACATCAATTGTTTATGTAATACAGTAGTAAATGGTTCTTATGTGGTTTCTTCATTGCCACAATTATTCAACCCCTTAAAGACTACCACTCTGAAGAACAGAGGTTCATACAGGTGCTTTCCATCAGGTATTGAAAACACCTGTGGATGTCACCGAGCAGCAATCAAGCATAATAAGCACCAATTAGGCAGCTTTAAAATGACTGTGATACTCAGCTCCTTCTAGACATTTACTGGTGTGGTTACAAACATGGTGAAGGCAAGAGAATGGTCCAGGAAGACAAGAGAAGAGGTGATTTCTCTTCACAGGAAGGGCAATGGCTATAAGAAGATTGCAAAGATGTTAAACATACCAAGAGACACCTTAGGAAGCATCATTCGCAAATTCAAGGCAAAGGGCACTGTTGAAACGCTACCTGGTCGTGGCAGAAAGAAGATGCTGACTTCGACTGCTGTGCGCTACCTGAAGCGTAGAGTGGAGAGAAGTCCCCGTGTGACTGCTGAGGAACTGAGAAAAGATTTGTCAGATGTGGGTACAGAAGTTTCAGCCCAGACAATAAGACGCACACTGCGTAATGAAGGCCTCCGTGCCAGAACTCCCAGGCGTACCCCCTTGCTGTCTCCAAAGAATAAGAAGAGTCGACTGCAGTATGCCAAAAGCCATGTGGACAAACCACAAAAGTTGTGGGATAGTGTTCTGTGGACTGATGAAACAAAATTAGAACTGTTTGGGCCCATGGATCAACGCTATGTTTGGAGGAGGAAGAACAAGGCCTATGATGAAAAGAACACCTTGCCTACTGTGAAGCATGGTGGAGGGTCAATCATGCTTTGGGGCTGTTTTGCTTCTGCAGGTACAGGGAAGCTTCAGCGTGTGCAAGGTACCATGAATTCTCTTCAGTACCAGGAGATATTGGATGGAAACGTGATGCAGTCCGTCACACACCTGAGGCTTGGGAGACGTTGGACCTTTCAACAGGACAATGATCCCAAGCATACCTCCAAGTCCACTAGAGCATGGTTGCAGAGGAAAGGCTGGAACATTTTGGAGTGGCCATCGCAGTCACCAGACTTAAATCCGATTGAGAACCTCTGGTGGGACTTAAAGAAAGCAGTTGCAGTGCGCAAGCCTAAGAATGTGACTGAACTGGAGGCCTTTGCCCATGAAGAATGGGCGAAGATACCCGTAGATCGCTGCAAGACACTTGTGTCAAGCTATGCTTCACGTTTAAAAGCTGTTATAACTGTAAAAGGATGCTGTACTAAGTACTAAGATTGAATGTCACTTGGGGGTTGAATAAAACTGATAATGCTGTGAGCACAGAAAAGACATTTGTGGTTATTTCATTATAACTGTTATGTTATATTTGTCTGACCTACAAGTGCCTCTTTAATGTAAATGTAAGCAAGATGACTGAATGATCAAAAGCAATGTCAAACTGGCCAAAACACTCAATTTCAGTGGGGGTTGAATAATTTTGGCCACAACTGTACTTCTCCCTAGTAGGTTCTAGAATGTAGTGGCCTGGAAGAAGCAGATCCTGAGCTTGATTATTTATGGGACTCTAGTCAATCTATGGAAAGGTATGCCCAGAAAATGGAGAGAGCCTATAAATAGTCTGAGATCTAGATCAGCAGGGCACTTATCCTGGAGGATGAGATCCCAGCTTGAAGGGCTGCTGACCTTACAGGCAGGTTAATGGAAGTCTGCAGAGAGCTCATCAAGGTTCCAGCTCAGTGGAAGCTGGGGCCTGTCACTGAGAATTCATTGAGGTCCCCGTTCAGTGGGAGCTGGGGGGTCTATTGTTCCTGGAGTCAGTTTTTAAGCCAAGGTGGTGTACTGAGGATTTGGCCTGGAGATTCACAGTACAGTGTCTAGCCAATATTGGACATAAGGTATCCAAATATTTGAAGACACAATGAGTAGAGGCCTGGAAGTGGGATCCTAGTAACTGTTTGTTGTTTAACCCCTTATGTGACTGTATCAGTGCTGCTAAAGTGGGACTTGCCCTGCTTCTGGGCTGGGTCTACTCGCTGTGCATGCAGGAGTAACTTTCTAGTGTGTGCTCACTCATCAATGACTGGGACCAGGTGGGGCTGTAATCATGTGCAGTCAACATTATGGCGATACCCCAGCTTAGAGATTAACAAAACACTGAGTGCAGTAGTTACCTCTGTAAAACTTGGTGTCCCAAATTACTACACGCCCTTTCTGTGAAATATTGCATTTAGGAGGGACACCACTGAGCCTATGCCCTCTCCACCAACCAAGTGTATCTCAATCCCAGTGACAGAATGGGGTCCTGACGTGCAGAAGTGTTGACCTCATATGTGCACATAGTTAACCAGGCTTGAAACAGAAAGCAAATATTTACTGGAACACTTAAAAACAGTGCAGCATAAAGTGCAATACTGTCTTCCTGACTAACTATGCTGTAGCTGCCCAGGCATACCTGTATATGTGTGAGTCCTTAATTGGCAAAGTCCTTTTTTGGAGAATCCCCTAAGGGTGGCAGATAAAGGTTGCTTCAGGCTACATCCTCTATGGTGTTTCGGACCTTCCTGTTTCCCATGTGGTCCTCTAATACAGCCCCCTGAGCCCAGCCTTTCCCCTATTTATATGGACTGGAAATTAAGGCAGGACCCAAAAAGCCCAGAGCTTAACCCTACCCTAACCTGGGCAGTCTAATCTTGCTAGCTTACAACAACATACCCTTAGTAGGCACCTGCCTACGTGCTTGTGTCTCTAGTCTCTGCCAAGAGGAGGGATGCCCCTGAAGAGAGTAGATAGAATAGAGAGTGTCCTCCAAATACTTTGTGCACTAAATTTTGGAGTATCACAAAGCTTTCCTGCACCCCATCCAAGTTTAACCAGCAATAAAGCCAAAAAAGACATCCACTGCCTGGTTATTGTATGCGAAACTTAGGGAACTACTGTGTGCCTGGCTGCCATGCACCCACTTGGTAATAGAACCTGGAACAAATTTGCAGAGCCTATCAAGGGTCAGGTGCTACAAGACAGCCACTTCCAGTCCTGCTCTTCCTAGGTCTCCAGCAAAATGGTCCCTGCTCTCTGTATTAAGGTTATTGTCTTCTCTCACCTGTGCTATTTCAATCTCCAGCACATGCATATGATTATCTTTCAGTTTACTAGTTTGCTTTCTTCATTTGCACCTAGTGAATACATAAATATTAAATATTAGGCCCCATTTACAGCTGTGGGTTTTAGGTGTGGTGCAGTAAAGAGAAATACTGCTTGCTTTATCTTTAATGCGCCGTCATCAAAGTGCATGCTACACTGATTTTGATGGTAATGCATGTAAAATGCACCTAAATGCACCTAAAACACACCACATGTAAACTGCATAAATATAAACTGGTCCTTACATTTGCTATCTGTAATTTTCTAGTACAATTACATGATCTCTGCTACAGAAACAATTGAGTGCTGTCCGTGATACTTTTTTTATTTGCACTAACATACAATTTTGAGGACAAGCTTTCGGGGTATGTCCCCTTCTTCAAAGTCCAAACAGTACTATTACAAATCACAAAGTTTAAGCAGAATGTTAGAAGGGATTGAGAAAAAATTGTTTCTGTCGCAAATGCACTAATACGGCTACAATCACCTCAAGCATGATCTCTGCTAAGAATGATTATTAGGTCTTATGTATTTTTAAGAAGGGTTATTTGTTTCTTTCTTATAGACTATATACGTGATTTTCCTTTATGTGCTTATTTGATTAACTAGGATGTTGCTTCTGCACTAGGTCTGTCAGCTTGTCAGACTCCTATTTTAAACAGAACTATCTAGCTGCATAAATTGCTTGCCAGAAGCTTGGTACAATGATAATCACATGGGGTCACATTTTGATAGACTATTTAGGCTGCCACAGCAAATTGTCCCACCACACTGAGCAGAACAAATTGAAAGTATATATAAGGAATCTTGTTATAAATAAAAGTTTGCAGATATCAATTATGGGAAAAGGATTATAAGCATTACAGAGCAATATTATAAACATATTACAATAGGGACTGTGTGTTCCCATAACTTTCCACCACAGCTTCATCTCAGCTAATAAAGGAAACAGGTTTGTTATAAAAAGAACAATTTTCTCTATGGACCATCACGTGTGTGCTCATTAACACTAAGTAGTGCATCTGCTCTAGGTAATGTACTTTCCATAAACAACCGTAAAAAGTGAATAAGCAATATTTTTACTTTTAGTAAACTAGCCTTGGCTTCTCTGTCAAAAAACTAAAACTAAAGTTAGCTATATACGATGTGATTTCCCCATTAACAAATGGGGGGGGGAGACATCCCTGCCAGGAGGACATGGTGGTTATTGCTAGCGGGTATAGCTGCTAGCAATAGCGCATGAAAAATCCAACAGGCTGGTTGTACCCTAGTCATACAACAATCAAATTAGGTACAATCAGCCTGCCCATAGATGGTTCAAATCTCAGCTGGTCCCTGCTGAACCGGCCGAGATTCGAGCCATCTATGGCTGGCTTAAGGAGTGCATCATTAGCTGAGACCAAATGCTTTTGTTAACCTTTCATGATAAGATAGGTATAAAACAAAGCCAGAAAGATTGGTGTAGCCAGCTAGATGAGCAACTGTTAGCTCAAAAAGACCTTTTGGTAGTGTAGGAATTGCATTTTTATTAAATCTATGATGAGATTTCTTTCTTCTGTTTAATGCAAACCTGTCACATTCAGCCCTTCATACCACAAAGTACCTTTTTGGTTTAGTCTCACTATGTTACAGGGGCCAGACTTCCCTGACTTCTACCCACTGGTCTGTACCTTGCTCAGTTAGAGTGTCTGCAATGGCCACTGCAGTGCTCTCACTATTGGGTGGCCATGAATTCAGTGATGTCAGAGGTCTGGCAAAAAAGTTAAACTAAATCAGAGCCTAGCCTATCTGGTCTGGGGGTGCAGTAAAAAAAGGCATATTGTCCACACTGTGTGTGAGTTGCTGAGAGTCTGTCACACAATGTCATGACCTGGGAAACACTAGTATGTATTAGGCCTCCTTTAAATCAGGAGTTCTTGGCAGAGTCCCCCTTTATATCGGGTTTCCATCAGCTTTCTCCCTTACATGAGATGTCTCTGTCAGAGTGCCTCTATCAGAGTGCCCCCTTATATCAGAGTCCCTATCACAGTTCCCCCTTACATCAGGGCCCCTATCAGAGTGCCTCCTTACATCAGCATCCCTATCAGAGTGCCCTCTTACATCAGGATCCCCCCTTACATCAGGGTCCCCATCAGAGTGCCCCCTTACATCAGGGTCCCTATCAGAGTGCCCCCTTACATCAGGTGTCCCCATTAGAGTGCCCCTTACATCAGGTGTCCCATCAAAGTGCCCCCTTACATCAGAGTCCCCATCAGAGTTTCCCCTTACATCAGGTGTCCCATCAGAGTGCCCCCTTACATCAACTGTCCCCAACAGAGTGCCCCCTTATATCAGAGTCCCTATCACAGTTCCCCCTTACATCAGGGCCCCTATCAGAGTGCCTCCTTACATCAGCATCCCTATCAGAGTGCCCTCTTACATCAGGATCCCCCCTTACATCAGGGTCCCCATCAGAGTGCCCCCTTACATCAGGGTCCCCATCAGAGTGCCCCCTTACATCAGGGTCCCTATCAGAGTGCCCCCTTACATCAGGTGTCCCCATTAGAGTGCCCCTTACATCAGGTGTCCCATCAAAGTGCCCCCTTACATCAGAGTCCCCATCAGAGTTTCCCCTTACATCAGGTGTCCCATCAGAGTGCCCCCTTACATCAACTGTCCCCAACAGAGTGCCCCCTTATGTATGATCAGTTATCCCCATCAGAGTGCCCCCTTACATCAGGTGTCCCCCATCAGAGAGTGCCCCTTACATCAACTTTCCCTAACAGAGTGCCCCTTTATGTATGATCAGTTATCCCATCATCAGAGTGCCCCCTTACATCAGAGTTCCCATCAGAGTGCCTTCTTACACCAACTGTCTGCATCAGACTGGCTCAGTGATCAGTGGATGCACTCTCAGAGACCGGGGGGGGCACAGTTAAAATCTGGTTGGGCACAACCCACTGCAGCAACCCCCTAGATCCGGCCCTGGAGACCCAGAGGAGAGAGTTGCCTTTCTCAATGTCTCAAGTTCAAATTTACAAAAAAAATAATAAATGCACATGTGTGTGCAGAAGAAAATGTGCACTTATTATTTTTTCCTGCAGGAGCCTGGAAAACATTACAGCAATGATCAGTAGATCCCAGCTGCAATGTGGGCTCCTGCAGACATGTCCTTCGGCTTTCAGCCTCTAAATCTGTACAAATCAGCCTGTAAATCTGTTTCAAAGCTGGAGAACATATCAATGGACTATGAGAGTGCTCATCAGTGCCCACTCAACCCATTGAAACTACAAGTCCATCTGCCACTTTGGAAGTTGGTACTTGTAGTTTATTCATTGACAGGAATCTGTGAATGAATGACATGGATGTGTAGGCAGAACCCCACACAACTGTGCTGTTCTTATAAAGTGACTGCGGGTGCAGGGATCAGGAGGAGAGGGAGCAGGAAATGGAATATATTACATGTTCCACCCTAAATACAGGTGGAACATGGAACATGTTCCAAATGTGAACTTATACTTTAAAGATTGTGATCATATAGCATTTGTCCTAGATTGGTTCAGAGCCAGATTTTCCACAATGGAATCTAGGCAGGAACCTAGTCTGGTGGAATTTCTGGGGACCCAGCTACAAGCTCCTTTCTGCTGCAGCAAACCAGGTGGATATCACAATGGTCAAAAGTGTGGTAGGATGCACTGATATGGAGTTGGTGACTAATGAGGTGAGCCATGCCAGTACAGACAATGCTAGTGGGAAGCTTCCTTTTGCCTATGGCTATTTATGTTAATTCAAGGGTTGGATGGGGGGCTTTGCTACCTTGTTGTTGCTACTTTGCCTATGGTCTTATTCTGTACACTCAATACATCTTTGTATTAGTTTATACATTTGTTTTTAAATTTGTATAAGGAAATGCTAGAATAATGCCATGATATAGATTTGTATAATTTTCTAAGTTTTCAATCACACAAAAGATAGTGGTTGTATTGTGTATTTCCACAATTGTATAGGTTCAGACAGTTCAGTTACAGTGAGCAAAGAATCCAAGGGTGGCCACCAATCTGCAAGCATAAAGCCATATGAGGAAGAGGACTGAAGGTCACCCAATGCATAGAAGTTAAGAATATAAGCATGGGTATGTAACATTTGTTAAAGCGAAGGCATCGTGTAGGTCTAGATTAAAAGATTGCATATGCTGTCTGATTGAGCTTCTAAACCCCATTTGCCTCCAGTAAAGAATAGGAAAGAAGGAAAAGTTTATGGAGACAAGACCAATACATGGGGAAAAGATATAGCAGGCATTTGGGAAAAGGTGGCTCTAGAAGGTGTGAGGCTGAAACCAGCTGACTGGCTGTGTCCAGTCAGAGCACAGAGTTCTGTGTTTACAAACACACAGAATTTGGCTCTTCTCCCTGAAAAGCAGGGTAAAAAATACGTCCAAATCTGCGAGTAAAAGCAGCACACATTACACTTGTTAGGCACACAGTTAACCCCCTTAATTACCCCATATGTTAACCCATTCCCTGCCAGTGTCAATAGTACAGTGCACAGTATTATATCTGATCACTGTATTAGTGCCAATAGCAATATCAGTGTCAGTCAGTTAGTATCCCTCCCAGCCAGTATCTGCTAGCTCCAGATTGCCTGTTACACTATCACAGTCTCACTAAAAGTTGCTGATCACCCCCATTTCCAGTCTATAACTGCATCAATTCCAGTATATATACCATAGTTTGTAGATGCTATAACTTTCACACACATTAATATACCCCTTCATGCCCAGTGCCATTAGTACAGTGTCAGTGCTTTTTATTAGCACTGATCACTACATTGGTGTCACTGGGGATATCAATGACACCAAGTCAGTTCCCCCCAGTGTCAGAATGCCCGCCGCAGTCCAGCAGTCCTGCTATAAGTCGCTGATTGCCGCCATTTCTAGTAAAAAAAAAAAAAGCCCAGTATATATACTGGCATTTCTAAACACTATAACTTTCACAAAAACCAATTAATTTACACGTATTGGGATTTGTTTTACAAAAAACATGTAGCAGAATACATTTTGGCCTAAATTTATGAAGAAATGTATTTTTTTATTCTTTATTGGGTATGTTTTATTGGATATATTTTATAACAGTAAGTAGAAAATATTGTTTTTGGTCTTTTTTCATTTATATAATAAAAATTTAAAAAGAACCAGAATGATCAAATACCACCAACAGAAAGCTCTATTTGAGTGAAACTAATTATATAACTTTCATTTGGGTAGTGTTGCATGACTGAGCAATTGCCAGAGCACAGTGCCAAATAGCAAAAAATGCCATAGTTGACGGGAGTAAAACCTTCCGACAGTCAGGTGGTTAATGGGTTATAACCAGGGGCGGACTGACAACTCATGGGGCCCCTGGGCAATAGGGCATCATGGGGCCCTATGTCCTTGCCGAAACTCAAAAAAGCCTATGAAAAAGGTACCAAGGGCATTTCATGGGGCCCCCTACTAACCCCGGGCCCTTGGGCAGTGCCAGAGTTTCCAAATGGTCAGTCCACCCCTGGTTATAACCAGCAGTGACAAGAAATGAATGGTCAAAATCATTGAAGAGATAATGTGCTGTCCTGGGTTTTCTGTTTACTGCAGTCAGATAAGTAAAGATTTTTGCTGTAGGTTACTACACTCTGCATATAGTCATTGCACTTTCCAGTGCTTTATTAGGTAGGACAAATGTCACATTTTTGATTTATATGAATGCATTGCTTTATTTAAAGCAAAATAAAAATAAAATATCTACCTTTACTAATTGATTCAACAGAGAGGGAAGTGAAATGGTTTGACAAAAGAATGTAATTTGTGGTTGATTTATACAGATCATATTTTGTCAGTTGATGCTTTGCCTCAGTGTACAGAAGTCAGTTATCTATGTGTCTAGGTAGGATTGCTCTGCTGTATGAAATGGAAAGTGGTAGCTGTGAAAAAACTAACACTACAAAGGAACCATTTCATGGGCTGTTAGATGGCAACAATTGTTGGAAACCCCTTTAATCTTTTGACTTACAATAAAAGGAAACCTTCCATGAATCAGCAAGATCAAGGTGTTTTCACTTACCTAAAGCAAAGCTGCTCACAGTGATTTATTATAGTTCAATGGTCAGTTATGGAAAGGAAAAAGTTAAAGGTGTATAGAAAAGAGAGCATTTTTACCTTTTGTATGCGGGGATTGTAGCCATTTTAGAGCACTTGCGACAGAAACTATTGAGTACTGTCCGTGATAATTTTTATATTTGCACTAACATACAATTTTTCGGGACAAGCTTCTTCAAGGTCCCTGTCTTCAAGGCCCAAGCAGTACTAGTCTACTAGTACTAGTCTACTGACTTGTAGTGCTTGGACTTTGAAGAAGGGGACCTACCCCGAAAGCTTGTCCTGAAAAATCGTATGTTAGTGCAAATAAAAAAAGTATCACGAACAATATTCAATCGTTTCTGCCTTTTGTATAAATTCATATGGAACACTAAATTCTGACATGCTGTGTAATAATTCTGTAAATATTCTTCCACAAATGCTGGTTACAAAATTATATTTAAAGTGAACCTGTGCTCTTTTCGAGCAAAGTCTTAGGTTCTGTTGATAGCGTGCACCTCTCCTTCCTGAGACTGCTGTTTACTATTTGTTTCCCATGACTTGTCCTCCTGAAATACCTAGTCCTATTGATTATAGGCCAGTGTGTGACTTCTGCCCTGCCTCCCATGTTGCAGGCCATTCACTTGAGCTCTGTCATATAGTCAGAAGGTGTTGGTGCTTAGCCCTTTAAGCGCCAACTAGACTGACTTTTTACTTCTGCGGGAAAATAGGGAGGCTTGGAGAGGACATGAAAGACAGGTATCAGCAACGGGAGAGTGGGGTTATTAAGTGAATCTGTTTTTTTCCCCTGAATAGAAAAATTATAGATTCACTTTAAATAAAGAGGTGGACTTAAAATAACAGGATCACCCACTGATAATTATCTGCTACGTGGATTAATTTTGTTGTCGTTATTACAAAAACATCTTCGCAATGTAGTGCCACAACTTTCTTCACTAAAGCTGATGTAAACAGGTGAGCTTTTATTTTTGAAAGCATTGCATTTTAAAAATTACATTTGTTAGAAAGTCAGACATTTAAAAGAACATCCTCCATTACATACTTAAAAATGGGAGATGTGTATTTCACCTGTCTGCAAGCAAAACAAAACCACTTGCTTGAAAGTGATTGCTTTGCAGAGCTATACTTTCTAACAGGATGCTGATAGCTTTCATAAGTGCGTTTTTCTTTTATTGATTGTCAGATGTGATTCAAAATTAACTGTCTGTCATTGTAAACTTCTTGTTTTCAGCTCCGTTTCATTTTAATTGTAAAGGATAAAATATTATTTTTTAGAAAATAACA